GTTTTCTACTTGATTACTGTGCTGTTGAAGATCTTTTACCTGAGCTTTCAGTTCCTGATTCATCATTTCTATTTGTTTGCCATGTTGCTCGAGGTTATTGACCTGAAGTATGAGCTCATGATTCTTGTTTTCCAGTTGATAGCCATGTTGTTGGAGATCTTTAACTTGACCTTTGAGCTCCTGATCCTTGCTTTCCACTTGGCCGCAGCGTTGTTGTAGGCTGGTAACTTGCACTGTGATCTCGTGATTCTGTTTTTTCATTTGATTAGCCTGCTGCTGTAGATCTGTTATCTGAGAGTTGAGCTCATGATTCTTGCTTTCCAGTTGACTGCCATGCTGTTGATGATCTTTGACCTGAGCTTTGAGCTCTTTGTTCTGAGCCTCCACTTGGTTGCAATATCGCTCTAGGCTGTTTATTTGCCGTTCAAAGTTTCCGCTATCAATTTCAAATTGCTTCCGTCGTCTGTCAAAAATAAAAAGTGGATCGAGGGTGGCTAGTTTCTCTCGCAAACAGCGGTCCGCGATTGCAGAAGCAGTTGCATAGTAAGGTGTTCTTAGCCGATGTTCTGGATCTTGCCTTTGATGAGATGTCATCGCGTTCGGATAAGAAACTTTGCTGTGATCGTCAAAATAGCGGCCTCTTTCATGCCCTATAGAACAAATCGTACAAGTTTACCGAATATCAATGAACTTTGTCGATAGACTTACGTGCATCTGATAGATGTGTACATAGAAAGTTTGGCCTATGTCGATAGCTGGAATAAGCTTCGTTGTTCTTCGATTCGAGTTCCAGAGAAGACCAGTCGAATAAGCGAACGCAGGATCTGGATCTTGGGATATGAATGAAATTATTCTTGCATACCCTACAGTGGAATTTGGGATTGATCGGCTGCATATCCATGCACAGAAAGACAGGAGTTCGCTTGAGTTCGTACTTATTTCTAGAAATCGAACAGACTAATTTTTCATAATGTCTTTTATCGAAAAAATATGAATAAAAATTATATGAATGTGAAGTTTTTGGATTCCTTTGTTTCAAACAAAAGATGCAGCCTCCCAAGTTTCGCTACTAGAGTGACAAAGCGTACTGTCCACGACATAACATTCAAAAACATTATTGAAGCAGGGTCTTAGATCACGACGGCCAAATTCTTTTTATTGGATCTTTAAATGATTTCAAGAGAATGCAGATTGAAAATAACGAAAATTAATGTAAATAAAATGTGTTAAGTTGACATCGTGTGTATCTGCTGGCTCGAAAGTTATTAATAACGCTGCTTGAACTATGATACCTGGCCTTCGCAACAGAAACAGAAAAACTGACGAAACATGCAAATTTCAGTGAACTGTGGGTATGTGTCAAAGACATGAACACCAATATCTTGTGATAGTGAGTAGTCCCACTCGAGTTACGTACGTACTGAAAATTCTAGGCTTTTCGATACTTGTCTCAGAAAAATAGCAGGGACGTACTTTTTCAATTTTAAGCCTTTGTAAGTGGATTTCGCATATAAGGCATTCCATTAAAGTGCCAATCGGATCTGCTTTATCAGGATCGTCAGATCTTGCTCAATTTAAGATATTGTTGCGGAGGAAAGTTTCTTATGAGATTTGACGCAAGCCATCCTGAATCAAAAAGAATGCAGGCTGTCCTCTATCGGAACGCTCGAGAAATTATTAAGATGTTGGCAGTAGGAATTCGGTGAGCGGATTTGATAGCCGACTTTGTCCGATTACTGTCATTTTCGGTCGAAATTCAGAAAATCGGGAAGTCGGATCACGAAGGATCCTGCAGGAAAGCACCGGGTGTGGGTGTGCCTCTCAGCGTGGCGTTGGCTTCATGCTGAAATAAACCAACGCTCAACGTAGACATCACACTGCGCCGAAACCCCATACTCATACCCCACTTCGTTGTTTGCTATATTTTTTCTGTGATTCCTCTTCGCAATCGAAAGCCTTTTAATATACGCTTCACGCAAAAAAACATATAGCTTCGACTTCAATTGTTTCGGACCAACCTTGAAATCTCAAGAAAAAGAAAACAAAGTTTTATTATTTCTGTTTACAAGTTACTACGATGTGTGTTTGTGTATAATGCATGAAGAAGTATCGAAGTTTTTGAGTGCATTTATTTCCCTGGCCAAAAGAAACAGAACACCTGTTTTTTTTCATTTCTTCATCACACTAGTGTCGTTGGGTCTCAAATTTATACCGTTGACACATATATTGTTACTCGATCTGGTCTCAAAATTTCTGCCATATATAGCCAAAATTAGTCTAGAAAACTACAAACGTTTCTCATCTGTTCATGTGTGGTTACAACAAAAAATTGTCGTTACGCTTATTTTACTCCCATTTCTCGTTTCTTTCGAATTTTTGTGTGTTAATTGGTTTCTTATCGAGCATCGCTTGCGGAGGACATCTTAAGATGTTTTCATCTGCAAACGATGCTCCGTAGCGAACTAAATAACACTTGAGAGTCTAAATGAAACGAGATATGAGAGTAAAATGAGTATAACGACAATTTTTTGTCGCAACCACACATAAAAAGATAAGAAATCTTTTTCAGTTTTCTAGAGAAATACTGGTTATTTATGGCAGAAATTTTGGGAGTAGATAGAGAGATAGCAGATGTATCAACAATATAAGCTTGAGACTGAATGGCACTCGTATGATGAAGAAATCTAGAAAGTAAAACGTTCCGTTTATTTTGACAAGGGAAATAGTATATTATTGACGGTCCTATTTGTAGAAGATCTTCTCAAGTTGTTTGCTGGAAAAAATTAATCAACTCAATGTTCAAATACTTCGTTTTCTCATTAAGGATATATTAGTGTTCTAGTATAGGGTAAGGCGAAGATGGTTCTTTTTCTTGGTTAAATGGACTTTTTTCATTGATTCTATGCTTGTCCTTTCGTGTGCGAAACTAGAACCCAAAATGCTTTAACTTTCTCAAAACGCCTGTTCATTCAATATTTTCTCATTGATCGGAATTATCTTTTGAGCATAATATCGATCAAAATGATACTAGAAACCTGGATTATCATATGCTGTACTTAACAAATACGAAATACGATGAATTTCATTGTTCAACTAAAATTTTATCAAGAGTTTTTAATAGTAGAGATGCTTAGCAAAAATTTTCTTTTGATTGACTGGTCACACTAATGTCTACACTGAAAGTAAATGTACTCACCACTTATGATCGAACAAACGAATAGAAACCAATGGTTATGATTGTTCTTACAGTGGTGAAATAGAAGATCTCACTGCAAGTTAAAAAAATTCTGTCTCCTATTAAATAGCTTTTTGTGGTGAGCAACTTGCTTTTTGTGTCTACTCACATCATCACAGCACTACTAAATCCACTTGCGATCTAACAAAAGAAAAAAAAATAAAACGCCAATCAAATAATGTATATGCACACTGTTTTAATGATTGTCAAGGATTTTGCTTTTCCATTAGCGTTAGTGTTTTACATATGAAAAAGTCAAAACAAAAGTGAGAAACGGTGAAAATGCTGCACTTTCTTCGATTTCTCCAATCAATCGTTTGCAATGATGAAAACAAACGAGCACATATTCAACCACACTCATTCCTACGTGCAATAATCATTTTCGCAAGGAGACGTTATTATTGAGATATAGAACCCAATATTTCAAAGAGATATTCTTCTATCCGCGTGCCTTTCTCCTGTGCCTAGTGTATATGAAGGTACGAAAAATTTGAAAACAAATTATTCTTCCCAAAATTATTTTGAACCAACAGAAATTGAAAATGATCGAGGGTAAATATGGATGTGAATAGTGTGTGAGTGTGAATGAGCTTGAACATGGGTGCAAGGTATGGATTTGGTGTAGGTATGAGTTTGGAGTGTCGGGTGTGCGTGTGGATGTTTACGTATCTTCACAGTATCTACACCAACATCCGCGCACCCACACTCACAATCAGAAAACCAATGTATGCTGCGTAAATTTTCTCGAACTCAACTGTTCATATATGTGTTGTATTCTATTCTCATACATTAAAACAAAGTATAAAGTCCATTTCAATAGAGGTGAAACTTTTGTTGCTCAATAATTGTTCATGAATTATTTGTATAGAAAAAACAACATTGACTTTATATGTTCTTTCAACGTTTTTCTCCTTTTGATAAATACAAATTGTTATTCTCAATTAGTTTTCTGCCAACACTTATTTAGTATTAAATTATGAGCTGATTGATTGTTTGTTTGTATTTCACGGCTCGCATTTGTTTCTGTTTCTTTATCTGAATTCTATTTCTATCACAATGAGCATCATGTTATTTTCTTTATCGTTCGATTTTTTTCTCTTCATCTCTAGTGTTTCTTTCTTTTATTTCTTTTTTCCTAGTTTTCTTCTCAGGATGAACTATCATCCTCTTATATCCAAAATGCGTGCACTGGCGGTTTAATGAAGAAGGGTTTCCATGCAACAATAGCTAGACAATTCGTTTGCTAGATTACGGATTTTCTTATATAAGAACATTGTAGAGATTAGACCGAAGAAAATACAATTTGTTTTTCCATTGTCGCATTCCTGCAACTATTGATCTCCTTTTTTCTTATGGTAACGTGTCGGCGAGATTAAGCACACTTGGAATCACGATAATCGTTCCGATGATAGGCAAATATGACAAGACAGTACGAGAAAAAAAAAAGAAAAAAGATTCTCTTGTTCTTGTTTTAAAAAAGTGTCTGCATCTCTTCTAAGTGATTTATTAATTAGTGAAAGACGATTGGCTCCGATTGTAATAGTTTAAAAAGTTTCTTGCAAAAAAAAACAAAAGTCAAATAAGTCATTCAAATAAAACTGAACACTGAAACATACCATTAAACATTGAAGTTTGACCAAAGTTTTGAATGCCATGTCGTTCAACTAGTCTTTCAATTAGTCTTAAAAGCAAATGAATATTTTCATTAATTTTATTTAATCCAAATAAATAAATCTACATCGATATATTTTCATAACAGAATGAGCTACATAATGATTTTAACTGATGTATAATAGAATACTAATTTATTATCAATTATAATTGTACCTGATTGTACTAAAAGTGCATAATAACCTGCTTCTATTGTTAAATATATATTTTGAATTTTAGCTGCTATAATTTCATTTTTATAAATATATTTTATACGATCACCTAAATGCAGTTGACTAACAAATATAGCAGATTTTAATTCTGTATAATTTCCTAAGAATATTAAATGATTAGGTGATACAAATAAAGATGTTGTAATATTTTCATGTTCATCAATTTCTATATTAATTAATAAAAAACTAAATAAATCATTTTGTTCTAAATGAATTAAAACATTCAATAGGTTCATATATTAATTTATTTTCTTTATGCATAACCAATACACGTTCACCAATAGCTATATTTGATAAAGATTTCATTGAACCATGTTAAGTTATAATGGTACTGCGACCAGGAAAGCATTTTGGTTCACGTCTTTTATTTACACAAGTATACTGAAGACAAAATTTACCATTCGATGATATTGAAGTACAGTTGCATGTTGAATCCTATGAACCACTTTGACTGTTAATATAAGCAAATGGTAAGATAAAGAGACATAAAAAAGCAATAGATAAAACAGACATTTGTATGCTGATTGAAAGTACATAATCAACTGTTAAAGTAATGGTGAATAAGAGCACTAAAGAAAAAAACCCACCGATGAATGAGAGTATATTTTAGTGCGATTGGTTAATGTGCCAATAATAAGGGCACGATCTTTCGTCATTTCTATGAGTTTGATTATGTCAAGACCATTGGTCAATATGCGACAAGACGCTCTGACCTCATGATCAATGATAGTTGCGTGCTCATTCTGTCCTCTATTCAACCTTGTCTCTCTTCGATTCATTAAAGTCAGTGTCACAATGAGATATAAAACAGAGACTAATCAAGCCAAGTCTTTGAAACGCGTATATACTTTGTTCTAATAAACATACAATCTTAAACTAATTTTTGACTTGATATTGTAGGTTATACAAGAAAAATAAAACTTAGCGAAAAGAATTAGAACTAAATAGGATATGCATATGCATGCAATAATGTTGAGAAGAAGGTCTACCATCATAACTGCTTTTTATGTGAAAGTTGAACATAAGCAGCGTGGCGCAGTGGAAGCGTGCTGGGCTCATAACTCAGAGGGCGGTAGATCGAAACTACTCGCTGCTATCTTCACTTTTTTATCCGTATATTTTTGCAGGATTTCAAAATCTGATGCAATATGTGGCAATACAGAACAGAACAAGCAAAGCATTTTACATTAACTATCGTATGATGCATCATTGCGAAAGACGAATGGCGAAGTACTCTATTCAGAAACATTTATTGTTTAATTGATAAAAAAATTATCTTGTGACCTATCAAATTATATTATGTCATTTTCTTAAGCGTACCTTTTTCACAGTTAACGAAGTATTTTGAAATCAGAATTAATTGCTGCATGACATAACTGATTGAAAAATAATTATCCGGCTATGTAGCGTGACTATAGTGTTCAAAGTATTTTTCTAAGTATAATAAACTATTTTCTTCAGCAGAATAAATTGTAGATTCTTTTAAAAGCAGTAAACTTGATTAATATATTAGACATAAGTAAAACTACTATTTGATTGAATAATGACATCGGCGCATTGTTGAGACCTTGTAGATAGATAAAAAAAATAACATAATTTTTAAAATATCCTTACAATCCATGTGAGCTCGTACAAATTTTAATTTTTGTTTTGCTAATGCCACCTGTAAATCTAGAATATGTTTTCTACTCCACATGTTAGCTATATCTCTGAAAGCGCTTGCAGTTGGAAAACAATATTAATTTTGCTTTTCGTTTGATTTTTACTTAGTACGAATATCATTTAAATCAGTAAAACATTCAGTCATTATCTATTGTCTTTTTCAACAAACTTTATTCAAAGGGTCAATAAAGTGTCGGACAAAAAGAAAGGCATTGTTTATGTTTCTCTATTATTGATACTATCAGATTGTTAAGAATGTCTACAGTGGTGATTATAAACACAGTAGAATCAATTTGAAAAACTGTATATTAAAAATCTTCATTCTTATAAATGATCTACAAATGAAAACAACATATTAGCTTAATTGGCCTGCATCAATCATTATTTTTTCGTCATCATCCTTGGATAAAGTAGTCTAGATAAGTCATTGCTAATCACACTCATACAATATCCTATTTCTGCAACATTGAAATCATAGTGACGATATACACAAACAGATAAAGCATAGCAATGCAATTGATTATTAGATCATTGATGGAAAATCTTTTTTTTTTTCGGAACTCATATTTTTGTTTGTATCTGACGACTATTTACTTTTAACAAGTTTAAAGAATTACAGAAGTAAAATGTGAAATTGGTAATTAACAGTTGAAATTTGTCCTCGTCTACTTGGCTTTTTTAATGAAATCAAATTGTATTTTTTACAAATAGAATGTTACTGAAGATATGGAAAGATGCAAGACAGATATTATTCGATAAGCTTGAATTCTAAATAGAAACAAGAAAAAGAAATAGATGTAGCTCTTCAAATAGTTGTATATTGTTGCTGTTTTTTTTTCGTTCTTTATTAATAAAACGCGTCGACCAATGTTCGTACAGAACATTTGAAATTATGAAATAATCTTTGATGAATTACAAAATGAATCACAAACAATGAATAGAGAAAAAAAAGAACATTACCGGTACTGGGACTTGAACCCAGACTGAGAGATTGAAGGTGTGGGTGTGGTTGGTGTGGGATAGTGTGACTAACCCTTGAATGGGTACTAACATGCACATTTACGCCTACACCGATGCCCACACCCACACCCAATGTTCTTAGCCAGCTTGTTAAAAAGAAAAAGGCTTCGAACTAACATGTGATTAAATTCTTGGATGTATTTCAGAAAATAAGTTTTATTAGAGAAAGATTTGCCATATGAAATGTTGTTTCTCATGATCTTGTGTGCAGAACTTAATTCTGAACAACTTGGTGCAAATTGTTACTTAAACTATTTAACCTTTTTGACTGTTTTAAAGTGGAAGAGAAAATAGTCATAGTCAAATATTTGTTCTAAAATTTTGAAAGTTCTGCTGAAAGCTGCCGAATTTCGCGTAAAATTACGTATTACACTTGAAGTTTCAGTCAAATTGTTTCAAAATACAGGGTGTCTCAAAAGTCGGTTTACTGAACAAAAACGGAATATCTCCATTATGGCGTGAACAAATAGGCTGATTTTTTTGTCGATGATAGAAGTATGTTCAATATTTACATCCATCGGGACAAGCATAGAGAGATTGATCGTTAAGTATCACTAGTGAGCTCAAAAAAAAGATGTTTTTCACAGATAGAATAAAAGACAATATACTAGCTGATGCAAAAGTCACATTACAGAATGAAAATTGAATGTCTTCATTACGACTCAAGCAAACGAGCTCATTTTTTTTATCAACGATAGAGGAATATTCAAGCTTTATATCCAAAAGGGGCTGCCTAGAGAGACTCTTTCTTAAAAAT